CCTAACACACAACCTCATTTAGTCATAATGATAGATTTCTATTTGATTGTGAATTATATTAGCTAGCTAGATAATGAATAATCTATGGAAATTATTGTAAAAATTATTGTGCTTCTTTTCCTGTTAATGATTGTCTATGTCCAGATCATGATTTTCTCTAAGTACTCCTTATTGAATATTATTTAGCAAAGATTTTTATGACTATATCTTACTCCATCACTCATTTACAAACAGCTCATCCTAACACACTTAGTGTTTGAACTTTGAGTTGTTTTGACAGGATACATTTTTAACATGCTCTGGTTGCTTCTCTGTGCAAATGGAAGTATCACAGTCGGGATCCTTAGACCAATCCTCAGCTGAGTTAAATTGTCATAGCTCTATTGAAGTCAATAGATCTCTGAGAATTTACACCAGCTGAGGATGTGCTCCAAACACTCATGTTATGAATTTAAAACTCACTTCCTTTGAATGTTCTGTACAATGGTCCTGATTCCACAGCCACTTCAGCATGTTCTTAACTTTAATCATATGAGTGGCCCCATTGAAGGTTAAAGGTAAACTCATGCTTAAGTCCCTGTTGAATGTGGGTTAGGGATATGGATAGGGCTTAAGGCTAACACCAAACTGGTACCAGACTCTGATACTGTCTCCATTTCTCTCCTTTCCCAATCAAATAAAGCCCTGCTATTGGTGTATTGGAATTACTCTCCCCTTCTGGCTTCTTTCCATAATTAGTATTCTGGGACCTGACTCCTCAGTGACTTTAGGCACCACACCGATGAATGGAGTAGAGAGAGAGAGAGATCAACATTGACAAGGACTTGCACAGAGAAAGGATGCAGTGCCACTGTCCATGTCATCAGTGTTAGGGGTATTCTGATGTGAGGCTCTCACAGTCACTCCAGCTGAAGCTGTTCCACTCTGGATTAATAATTAAAGAGTTATTGGAGTAGGGGGACTGGAGACTGGGTCTCCGAGGTGAGTGCTAAGACCACCAGGCTACAGGGTAATTCTCATGTTCTCTCTCTCCCTCTCTGACCCAACGATTCTTTAATTATTTAATCTAAAGTGGCACAGCTTGAATGGATTGAGGGAGCCCCACATCGGAATATCCCACAGCCCAGTGATTAGGACACTGGGTGGCAGATCCCCCTTCAAATCCCTTCTCCTCAGGTGGGGGGACTTGAACTTGGGTGTTCGCCATGCCAGGTAAGTACCCTAACCACTGGGCTAAAAGCTAAAAAGGAGGGCCGCCTTCTTGTCACACAAAACACGATGGATGTCTAACACCAAGGAGAGCGTTCCCAGAAGTGATTATGTGGTGTTAATGAAGGATCAGGCTATTCCAGACCAGCTGAGATTCTGGTGTCACTAGGCTCTTAGCTATTGTAGATCATGTGTCTGTGTTAGAAATCCATGTTTTAATTTGCAAACCCCTTGGGACATGCTTTGAGCTTCTGCCCTGCCTTATTTTTAGCCAAGGGTCCTGCCAGGGATGCTGCCATCATGTGAGATCCAGGGCGGGTGCTGTTCTCCCTCTGTGGGATTAGAGTCGGGCAGGTTGTCACGGTAGTTTGCTCCAGAGGTGAGTTCAGAGCTGGTCTTAAAGCCTTGGAGACTGGATTCAACTATTTAACCCCAGGGCAGAGACATCCTGGGCTGTAACCATGTCTGAACCCTGCACAAGCCAGGATCAGCTCTAAATTTGGGAGGAGTTTTCAGTCTCTGATCCCATTTAGTCCTTTGTCTCTCAGCCAAGCCTGTCCAAGGAGGTGAGCAGGGAGCACTCATCTGTGGTGTGGATCGCTGTCTACTAGGAACTGCAGAGAGACTCAGGAAATCCAGCGAAGGGACATGGAAACTGCCACTGGATAATACAATAATGGGGGCATGAGAGAGAGATGACCAATGAATCCTGGTGCTTGAGGATCAATTTTTGCTTTCAATTATATACGTGAAGGTATTAATATGGAGATAAATTTAATAACAGATATATGAATTGTAATGGGAACTCTTTAAGACTTTTATTATCAAGCATCTAGAGCCTGTCAGATTTCTTTTCAGGAGAATGTAAGAACCTAAACATAAGTTTCAATTTGAACTCTTTAAGGATTTAACTCTCAGTGTAGTCAGACATCTAGATCCAATCAGAGAAAAAGAAGGTGGATAATTTTCACTTTATATCAGAAATCAGAAATGTATGCAGGGCTTGGCAACCAAAAATTAATTTATTTTCTGCTAAAAACTACTGTAAACTGGAAATTTTGCATTGTAAAACAAAGAATATTGGGATTTGAAGATTTCAGCAAAACAAAACAAAAGGTCGGAGTATAGGAGATACTTTGCCTGAACATTTTTGTTTAGTTCAAAAACTCATTTTCCTACTACTACAACTACAAAAAAATCTAAATGTCCAAACATCTCTAATTTGAAATGGAGCTTTAAACAAGGGTGGGGAACATTAATCCTGTTCAATAATACCATCGTTTCAAAACCATTTTTTCTCTTGAAACTGGGTTTGTTTCTGTGTCAAAGGGATTTTTACTGGAAGATAAAAATCGAATAAGCAGCAGAGCTGATAGCCAGAGTTTATGTTTTATGCACACTAGCACTTTTAGACTCAGAGTTGACCCACCAGTTAAAGCCAGTCTATCTCAATGTTGCCAAAGGACATACAGGAGATAAATGGGACTAGAACCCATATTTCCAGGCCTTGTAAGTTAACAAGATAGACACAGGACCAGGATTACAAAGGATTTAAGCACCTAAAGAAGAAGAAAGGTGC